GACCAAACACGACACAGACACGGATTAAGAAAAGGTTTACTAATCCATTAGTACTTCTGCCAATACCGCAACAGATGTGACAGGCAAACACTGTTACAGTTTAGAAAAAACAAGTTTTGTACAATTAAAATATTAAACAGATCTCGGAAAAAAAAAATCAGTGGCTGAGTATTAAGCCTGGAATTTCAGATCCAGTATTAGCACCTACAGCACCACCAAACGCCAAAGCACTTGCACTGTTCTGCTCAAGTCTTCTTCTCTAGACTCTCGAATTCCCTCTGCAGTCGGACAACGACGCTCAGCACCTAAACCAGGACCTCCTTGCTTTGATAAGGGGAAAGAATACAAGATAAAAGTATTAAGCCAGCTTGGTTTGTAGGAACTTTACTTTTGCAGGCGTTGCTGAGGAAATGTCGATGCACGGGGGGCCCTAAATGATGCACAGTTCTACTTCTCAATAGTGTTCCAGCAGACAGAATTAAGAAACCATCTTACACAACATTAACAGTTTGTCAAATCAATGTGTTCCTATAAATTATATATAACGAACCCTTAAAGAAACAGTTTTACACTTCACATATTAATCAGAGTAGGGTAGGAATTGTTACTTTTATTGGTTCAGCATCCTTTTTATTTGTACTTACTCTTTTATGAATGAATATCCCCCCCCATTCTGGTGAGCACTGACAGATGCAATAACAGCACAGATACAGTAGTAGAAAAAACACCAGTATTAAAGTTCGGCTATTCCTCCCCTTTCTAGGAACAACCAAAACACAAAAACAAGTAACACGTTGCCTTCTGGTTTTCCACGAGAATCAGCACAGGAAACATAAAGCGTCTATTGCCTTGAGTCACTTCTCACCAGGCAGAGGCACTGTGTATCCCCTCGCTCCAATACTGAACTGGAGGGAAGGTCTGGCTTCTGGAAAATTCCCAACTCTGACGTGCAGCTTTCCAAAGCCTGACTGACGTACAGAAGAGTTTAAGAATTAGGGAGGAACAGCACTGTGACTAAAACTAGACTTCTTTTCGGTCAAGCGTCCCATTTCTTTCAGAGGAGTCCATAGCTTTACCACTTCTCCTTTTTCTTGAGGGGGAAGCACGAACAACTGTAAAAGTGATCTCATTGCTTAAAAGTTTGCCACAAAAATGGATGCTGATCAGCTAGGTCACCCCATGTGGAGCAGTTTTAGGAAGTTAGTCCTTGTAGTAGATGGCACTGTGGATCTGGCAGCAGAGAAAGGAATGATGCTCTAAAGTAGGAGGTAGGGGAACTTCGGTACAGCAAGTCCACTGTTGAGCCATCTGCTAGAAAAGAAGTTTCATACTATTAGAAACTATTACTAAGGGCTGGTCTTCAGCTTGTCTACTCAGAACTTTAGGACAGAAAGGCTTCAAAAGAATCTTCTTTTATTCTTCTACGAACAGAACAGAGAACCATTTTGGATGTAAAACTGCCTGAGTTAGGTTTATGCATATTTACACAATCAAGACCTGAATTTCTCTAAAGGCAAAGCTGGTATCCTCTGATCTGTATTAACATTCACGGACACGATGCCAAGTATTGGTATTTCTACTCATTCAGAAAAGCTAGTCTGCACAAGATTTATGTGAACAGCCTTTGTTTACATACAGTGGTCAGATAATATTCTGTCTCAGTATGACAGAATCTGCCCCTCTGGGCACAGACAGCAAGTTGAGACTGATCTAGCACAACGTTAACACGTACCCGAGACGCCACAGTTTTATCTTCCGCTGGTCATACCTCTGTCTTCATAAATGGTAATTTCAATCTGCACAGAAAAGCTGTTAGGGAAATATACTATAAAAAATATTATGAAAATAACCTGAGGGTTGCAATTAAACAGTCACCTCTTGCTCTCACATCATCAATTACCAGGTTGAACAAACTGCATTTTTAGAGGCCACTGAAACAGAAGCAGCAGCTGCCGTGTCGGAAGTAGCCTGTCTATACGTACTGCGTGTTCAAGGAAGCCTCAAAGGAGAGATCACGATACTGCATTTTTATTGCCTTTTGATGTGACCAATCCTAATGTACTAAAATCTGACTAGAGAGCATACACAATGAGAGGAAGAAGACTAATCGCATACTCTGCCGTGTCACAGATCAAGCACGACACCAAGACAAGCAGGTAGCACACTGCAGGTGGACAAACCAGGAGACAATCCAAGAAACCACAGAAGGATACAACTCTTAGTCCTCTTTCAATGGGATCTGTCAGAAGGAGGCCCTGAGGCGCATAGATCTTCTCATTCTGTTCCTGAATGAACTTGGCAATTTTCTTTAGAACCTGTAATACAACAGCACAGAAGTCACAGTTCCTTCACCAAATTTCCCTGCATTGGAACTATCAGATACAGCAATTTTAGGAGAATCTAGCACACAACTAGAGACAGAACTTGTGTGAGTCCTCTGAAGTACAAGCAGTCATTACATTACTCAGATTGACTAATACAGACAAGTCTGTCTGGTTTATGTGTGAAACCACTCTGCAGTAAGGTTCAGAGTCTCTACGGAGTTTGTAGAATGGTACAAGTCACAGCAAATCAACCACGAAATGTCCTTGGTTGAAGTTTATGAGATATACTGTCTTCCAAGTAAGAAGGTAAACAAAGGAAATGCACCTTTTCATAATGTGTCTCCATGCACAAGAAGATGGTATAGGCAGTCAGGCAGGCGAGACAGCCCTCAAGGTAAGATTGGCCCCCAAGTTTCTCGGCTTCTGCATACAGATTATTCAGTGTACGGACAGTCTCTTCAAATTGCTGCCTATCAATCTGCAAGAGAAGTCAAGCTTAGCTACCATGCTCTGCACATTTCAGAACTCACGGCTATCGTCAGGTATCTACCTTCATTTATTGCTTATTTGCACTTCCCCACTCTGCAGCCACCGTGTTTAGAGCCAAAGTCTGAGGAACACTTTGAGTTACAAACCTGTAGTTCTTTGTTAAATATCTGCCCAAGTGATCAGACCAAGTTGAATTCCAACACAATGTGAACACAAAACAAACTATTAAAAAGTAATGTAACTAAACTAATGTGCAACTCATCTGGAATCAAACAAACAACAACTATATAAAAAAAACCCCAAGCTTAATTCACATGCAACGTGATCTGCTAGATTAAAAGGAGCAGTCAGGAAATGGATTGACAGTTAACTCTTAATATCAACACCCTGCTGCTGTTGCAGTGCTGGTCAAACAAGCTCTCAACAAAACAACCCAAAACAAAACAGAGAAATGGCGAAGAGAAGTGCATTGAGAAAACGAAAAGGTGTCAAGCAAAGCGCATTTGTTTTGCTACCAGCTAGAGATGTTACATCTGACAGCATGAAACAAAATGAGAGTACTTGAGACAGTACTTGTGAGGCCACTGAAGAGGCTCAGCAAAACTGGCCGGGCTCCACAGGAGATGATGGCGCTAATGCACGACAGTGAAACAACACCCGCTCTATTCTCACAGACACAATGGACACGTTCTATTTCGCCCCTAGAGAGACAGTTGTCTTCCTCGGTATTGAAAAAAAGCACAAAACAGCAGCATTTCATAAACACTGAAGAGAAACACTTTTCATTATTTTTCACGTGGCTTTTCACTACAGATGTGAAGTATTTGCTCACCACTGCTGATCAAAATTGCCATTGGGACAGGGCCACGGGGCGGACCCCCACCTTCACTCTGCACCCGAGGGACGGCTCTCGCTCGTCGGTCCGAGCACGGGACCCCGCCG